TGTATTATTTCTTATCGCCCCTACCCCCCGATCCGCTAATAAAAATTGGTGGTAAAATTAATATTGTTTATTTTAAGGATCGCAGATGTCAGGCTAAGAAACGAAATATTTTCAATTTGTTGAAATTTTTGGTGACGTTAATGTTATGGAATCACACATATTTTAAAAATAAACCGAAACTTGATTTCTTTTTCTAAGATGTTTTTTTCTGATTCAAAGCAAATTAGCGATTAGGACATCGTGTGTCTTTCATGGAACTATTATTGAACATGCGTTTCACAAATATTTCTAGATGACAACTATGTCTTACGGTGATGATGTCAAAAGAGGCATGACATCCACATATCTATTGGTTTTAAAAATTAAATTTATACCCTTTATTCGTAGTTATATAATTCAAACTAAAATGTTTGGGTGACATAGGTCGCATCGTGGTTTCAAAGTAGGTTTCTTACTTGCTAAAATCTAAGTTCAGTAGGACTAAAAACATATCAAGTACAATGTCATGTACAACTAATACGGTGATCTATTCAAAATGTACATGATATTACCCCTTCTGACAGTTTGAAAGTACAGTCAATGTTGAGGTGGTTGCTTAATGACGAGTTGTACTGTATGATGAATTTTAAAGTACATCGGCTACTAGCGTTACTTTTGTTATATTATTCACAAAGTAAAAAATCATATTATCAAACAATCTAAACTGTATGCCATATCAAAATAATCTTTAAACCCCTGTTTTATATTGTGGCTTATGCACCGTAATTGGATTTAACAATTTGCGACATGCATTGCCATTAAGCACAGTGTGAACAATGTGATATTGACGAAATTAAATATGGTTATCTTGCTTGATGCGATATTATAGGATTTCGGGAAGGGAGTTTTTGATTCTCCCAAATTCTCCCTAGAATGGAACAAATACATCGTTGAGATATGGGAATGAACGGTTTGGAACTGATGGGTATTTTTCTTCTTTTCTGATCTGAATTTAGATAAAATAATAACTCACCCAATGGGAATTTTGACGAAATTTGGTATACTTAATAAATTTATAATTCATCAAATTCTCGAGATTCTTTCAAAGATTTTGCTCTAAATATATAAACATTGTGAATACGATTATGATATTTGAAGGTTTTGTATTTAACTGGTTTGCTTGAAAAATTTCCATGATTTAATATTTAAATGCAAAAAGTGACTGTTACTAAAGGTTAAAGCTTCCATGTTCCATTTGTTGTTGTGTTCAAGTACCATCTTCTGATTGAAAGCTTGTAGTGGTATATTTTGTGATAGATACATTTTCTTCTTCAGAATGTAACAATAATACGTATGGGGCTGGCTGTAAAAAACAATGTCACGACAGAAATTGTGAAGGGTCGCAATATTGTAATGCAAAAACAGGAGCATGTAAAAACGGTTGTAAGCCAGGATATACAGGTCAGGACTGTACAACAGGTAAGGTTATTCTCATGTAGGATATACAGGTCAGGACTGTACAACAGGTAAGGTTATCCTCGTGTAGCTTATACAGGTCAGGACTGTACAGCAGGTAACGTTATCCCCATGTAGGAGATACAGGTCAGGACTGTACAACAGGTAAGGTTATCCTCATGTAGGATATACAGGTCAGAACTGTACAGCAGGTAAGGTTATTCTCATGCAGCTTATACAGGTCAGAACTGTACAACAGGTAAGGTTATTCTCATGCAGGTTCTACAGGTTATGACTGTACAACAGGTAAGGTTATCCTCGTGTAGCTTATACAGGTCAGGACTGTACAACAGGTAAGGTTATCCTCATGTAGGATATACAGGTCAGGACTGTACAACAGGTAAGGTTATTCTCCTGTAGGAGATACAGGTCAGGACTGTACAGCAGGTAAGGTTATCCTCATGTAGCTTATACAGGTCAGGACTGTACAACAGGTAAGGTTATCCTCATGTAGCTTATACAGGTCAGGACTGTACAGCAGGTAAGGTTACAGGTCAGGACTGTACAGCAGATAAGATTATCCTCATGTAGCTTATACAGGTCAGGACTCTACAACAGGTAAGGTTATGTTCATGTAGGATATACAGGTCAGAACTGTACAGCAGGTAAGGTTATTCTCATGCAGCTTATACAGGTCAGGACTGTACAACAGGTAAGGTTATCCTCACGTAGCTTATACAGGTCAGGACTGTACAGCAGGTAAGGTTATCCTCATGTAGGATATACAGGTCAGGACTGTACAGCAGGTAAGGTTATCCTCATTTAGCTTATACAGGTCAGGACTGTACAACAGGTAAGGTTATCCTCATGTAGCTTATACAGGTCAGGACTGTACAGCAGGTAAGGTTATCCTCATGTAGGTTATACAGGTCAGGACTGTACAACAGGTAAGGTTATTCTCATGTAGGTTATACAGGTCAGGACTGTACAACAGGTAAGGTTATTCTCATGTAGGATATAGAGGTCAGGACTGTACAACAGGTAAGGTTATTCTCATGTAGCTTATACAGGTCAGGACTGTACAACAGATAAGATTATCCTCATGCAGGTTATAGAGGCCGGTATGATTGGTTATGTACTGACAATCTCATAATTGTATCCAACTCAAATAAATAAGCTTCTACCCCCGCCCCCTTTTTATACGCAAGATCGAAGCTACAGTTTTCATAAATATGTGGTCGTATATTGTCGATGCCCCTGACCGTCGGTCCGTCCGTCAACATTTCTTGTGAGCACAATAGAGACTACAGTTTGTATCTGATTTTGATAAAACTTGGTGTGATGCTTTAGATAAGATCTCGGTCAAGTTCGAAATTGACAAATTTTCGATGAACGGTTTTTGAGATATTGCCCTTGACTTAGAACGCCTTGAAATTTGTTAAAAATTATTCGTGAGCATGATCGAAGCTACAGTTTTCATCCGATTCTGGTGAAACTTGGTGTGATCATTGGAATTCATAATATCTCGGACAAGTTCTAACTTGACGCATTTTCTTTGAACGGTTTTTGAGTTATTGCCCTTGACTTTGTTATAACGCGTCGAAATTTGTTAAAATAGTTCGTGAGCAGGATTGAAGCTACAGTTTTCAACCGATTCTGATGAAACTTGGTGTGATCATTGGAATTGATAAGATCTCGGACAAGCACTAACTTGACGCATTTTTGATGAACGGATTTTGAGTTATTACCCTTGACTTTGTTAAAACGCGTCGAAATGTGTTAAAAATAGTTCGTGAGCAGGATTGAAGCTACAGTTCTCAACCGATTCTGATGAAACTTGGTGTGATCATTGGAATTCATAAGATCTCGGACAAATTCTAACTTAACGCATTTTCGATGAACGGTTTTTGAGTTATTGCCCTTGACTTTGTTAAAACGCGTCGAAATGTGTTAAAAATAGTTCGTGAGCAGGATTGAAGCTACAGTTCTCAACCGATTCTGATGAAACTTGGTGTGATTATTGGAATTCATAAGATCTCGGACAAATTCTAACTTAACGCATTTTTGATGAACGGATTTTGAGTTATTGCCCTTGACTTTGTTAAAACGCGTCGAAATTTGTTAAAAATAGTTCGTGAGCAGGATTGAAGCTACAGTTCTCAACCGATTCTGATGAAACTTGGTGTGATCATTGGAATTCATAAGATCTCGGACAAATTCTAACTTAACGCATTTTCGATGAACGGTTTTTGAGTTATTGCCCTTGACTTTGTAAAACGATTCAAAATTTGTTTGTGAGCACAGTAGAAGCTACAGTTTTCAATCGATTTTGATGAAAATTGGTGTGATCAATGGAATTGATAAGATCTCGGACAAGTTCTAACTTGACGCATTTTCGATGAAAGGTTTTTGAGTTATTGCCCTTGACTTCTGAAAAACGTGTTAAAATTAGTTTGTGAGCACAATAGACGCTACAGTTTTCAACCGATTCTGATGAAACTTGGTGTGATCATTGGAATTGATAAGATCTCAAGTTCTAACTTGAGATATTTTTGATGAACTGTTTTTGAGTTATTGCCCTTGACTTTGTAAACACGCATCAAAAGTTGTTTTTTACCCTTCATTAGAGTTGTGTGATTTAATTGTTTGTTCTATTTGGGTTATTAATTTTGATTTTAAAAAAATTTGTGGAATTACTCAGCATAAATAACTGGCATATATGTAATTGAATTCAAACTAATAAAATTTCTTCAATATGAGAAAATTCGTACTTTAGTCACTAAAGACTGTTTTATCATTTCTGACAGCTGCCAGTGGGCGTATGTTACCTTTCCTCGCAAGCTGTCTTAATGAATTGTAATTGTTTGATGAATTATGGCAATCGAAATTAAATAAATGTTTTGTATTGCAGTGTGTCCTATTGGTAGATATGGAATTGGATGTAGAAGGCTGTGTACTGATAGAAATTGTAAATTATCTCAGAAATGTCACCATGTAACAGGAAACTGTGAGGAAGGATGTAGTCCTGGTTTTACTGGCATTGATTGTGTAAAAGGTGAGATTATTACACACAGATTAGCCTGCAACCCTGTGTGTGTGCGAACCATTACTAACCTGAGAAACCTATCATTATATATAATTTGCCTGACACATTAATTATATCTTACCAATGTCATTAAATCTAGTAGAAATATTTTTACTATTTGCATGCGGTATGGGTAAGGATATCAACATGTTGTGATTTAGCGGCAACTATACGGATCTCCAACATCTTCGTAACCCAACTCACACTGAAACTGTATGATGAATCCTTTCAGAATGTCGTCCAGGGTTTTATGGACCTGACTGTACGTCTAACTGTTTAAACAGACACTGTACACTCCAGAATGACTGTAATAATCGAGATGGTGCGTGTATCTGTAAAGATGGTTACCAGGGAGTGGACTGTACAGTAAAGAAATCTGTAAATATTGATGGTTCAACTAAACCAGGTATTGCCTTTTTAGATCCAGCATTCTTACTCAAAACAAGCAATACACCATAATAAAGATGGGTGTACGCACGACCCTACTGTCTTACCAGAATCCTTGTATCAGAGACCCGTCAAATGAAACCAATTTCACTCGTATACATCGATAACCTATAAACGTAAGGAGGAGCACAAGGTTCTGATCTTTCAGAGAGTTTTTCTGACATCAGTGCACACACAAGAAAATATTACCGCAGCCACATTCTGTACGTGATAATCTGAGAAAATTAGTTACCTAACTTTTATTCACACCGAGCACCGCTTCAAAAGGTGAGCACGAACAGTCTAGTTTTATTTAAGCAGGTATACACGCCCTGGAGTCTAGTTTGTATATTAACAATTTATATGTGGTTAACCTTAAACATTTATATAATATTTCAACTTTCACAGATTAATATGCTGATTTGATATATCATATCTGACATATTTATGTTAAAAATTGTATTTTTTCAGCGGAAATTAATCCAACCTGGATCATCGTGGGTACAGTTTTAGGCTTTGTTATCGGTATTTGTATTGGTGTGTGTGGAGTAATGCTAGTTTCTAGGCTAAGGTAAATTCTTATGGCTGATTTAATATGATTCAAGTTGAAAAATAAAATTTTGTCAATTTAGAATCATATGTAAAAAAAAAAACAGCAATTTTAAGTTTTCAAGACATTTTCTATACATTATCTTAATAGACAATGCTTGACTAGAACGATCCCCAACAGCTGAAACCTGTATCGAGGTTCGTTTCAACAAATACAATAAAAATATTCAAACGTGACAGGTGTTTGACTTTGCCCACAGATACGCGACATGAAAAGTAAAAAAAATCCGGCGATTTACATCGGCTTGTAAGTAAGTTTGCTGTTAAACTTCGTGTTTTAGTGGAGTTGAAAAATAACTTGCCTAACATGGTGACAAGTCCTATGTTTCCTATTTAAAATCTTTATAACAAGTGGTATTTTCAGGTCTAGTAAAGACAGAAGCACGATAGTTTATAATGCATCGACTGGTCATTGTAACTTGTACAACAACAACGTACCAGCACAAGAATCATCTACAGATCACAACGACAACCGCAACAGTGGAAATTATGATACTCTTTCTTCTAATAGAAATGAACCGACATATGTAAAGTTTTGAAAAAATAATTACTTTTCTTTGTTTATCGTATTAGTTCATAGGATGTTCGTTACAGAAACAGAAAACGACGACCTTCAATCACATTAATATACTCTGTTATTTCAGAATTATTTAATTAGTATTTTTAATTTAATATCAGTAATTTATAAATATCACGCTGGTGCAGCTGAATTTTCACCTCGGCCTATGTTTTAATCATTTTGATTATATGTTGTTGTTACAACCACTCTTACCTAATATAATGTAATGTAATTGTTGTTTTTTCTAAACAATATTTTATTAACATAATATGAAAAGAAATTACATTATATATTTGCAAAAATATAAATAAGTCATTTAGTGGAATAATGATAATACACCCATATTATAATGTCCACCCGTCCATCCGTCCAAAAATGGCTTGTGAGCGCGATGGATACTATAATTTTTATCTTATTTGAATGACATTTGGTTTCGGGGAAGGGAGGGTTTGATTCTCCCAAATGTACAGGCCTAGGGTGGAGCAGACACTTTATTTAGAAATTAGGATTAAGGGTCTTGATATTGGGTTTTCTTCTGTTCTTATTCTGATCTGAAATTAGAAAAAATAACTCGCCCGATGGGCGAGAAGTATAGTATCTGTTATGTACTGATTGTTTTTAGTTTACTATGAACAATATTATCATTTAAGTTCTTATTTTTTGAATATGCAACTATCATTTTCTGCTTATAGACATGGGGGATTTCTCTTGAAGGCTCTTATAGTGGGCATGAACTATCTTGCTTGCTCGATTGCTGGTTGTATTAAA